GCTGCCCTCCAGATCGGCTCATGCTCTTTGGAGAAAGCCCTTTGCCCCAGGGGCTAAGCTGCAGCCTCGCCACTCTCCCTCAGTTTCCATTGGGAAAAGCTCGAGGGAAGGCTCCAGGGCTCTGGGCCATGCTTCTGCCCGGTGACACCTTAGTCCACGACAACGGGAACGACCCTGCCAATGAACGGCGTTTTTCTTTCGCCTCTTTGCTTGGCTTCCCTTGCTTTTCCCTGTTTGGCACCCCTCGCTGCGCACAAATAAACTGGCCGTTTTCATGCTTCCTTCTGCTCAATGTCCCTGTCTTGTTCGTGGCACAAACGCGCTCGCTGCTCGGGGCTACCTGCCCACGTGGGCCCGCAGCCTCTCGGGGTGGTTCCTTGACCCAGTCCCTTCCTCCCTTCCCGGCTCCTTTTTTCAAAGACAATCTTGACAACGAAAGGTTGTGAGCAATGAATTACACCAGCTAACGAGTTTGGACTTCATCGAAAATGTGTACATTAAAATGTAAAATAATAGCGGGTATCAAGTCCAGAGCCCTGAAAAAATACCCGAGAGCCCAGCCCAAACCCAGCTGCTTATTTAGGCCCGGGGGCCTGTGCGTTGGCAGCCTGGCACTCCCTCACCTGCCAAGCTCTGGGTCACACAGGACTCTGCCTGGGCTTCTTCGGGAGCCCCCCGGTGACAGGGGTGTGCTTGGGGTGACAGGAGAAGGATTTTCACCCTAATCTCAGCCCAAACACAGTGCTATCTATGTACATAGCGTACAGGCCTGGGGAGGCAGGGCACTGGTGGGCAGGCAGGCCACAGAACCTGAGCTTAGGGTTGGGCAGTGCCCTGCTCACACTTACTCGGAAGTGTGCCCTGACTGCGGAGACGTGTGGTTTGGGGTGACCCAAAAAGGATTTTGCCCCATAATCCGAGCCTAATCTCAACTCTTGATATAGCCCCGCTTGATACATGATGCTCTTTTACATTTGAATGACTAAATATATATTTAGGATGAAATTCTAACTCTTTAGCTCCTCTAGTACATTGCTCACAGCCTTGAACTGGATAAGGATTAGGTTTGAAAAGGGAACCGGGAATGAGGAACCCGTTTCATCCTCCTCTCCCTCTCACCGTGTTTTCTGCCTGGCAGCGCTCGGGGAGGGGCGCTCTGGGCAGCCTTGTTGGCAGAGCAGCCCGCCGCTCCCTCGCCTCGGACGAAGGCTGTTGCGGACTGACCCGTACTGGGAAGGGAGGATGTTTTAGGGGGCAAATGTCGTGCTGACTGGAGCGAGGCCCGCAGTGCGGCTGCGGCGGGCAAAGGGCTCGGGCAGTGCTTGGGCTTTCCCAACCTGCGCTGGGCTCTGGGGCAGGGCTGCGGCACACGGCGCCTCTCCTCTGCCTGCGCGGACTGGACGTGGAGCCCGTCTCCGAGCCAGGAGCCTGCACACTCAGGCGCAGTTTAATCTGGTCGGCCTCTCGCTGGTGGTTTCAAACACTCGCTTTGTTCGTGGCCCCCGCCTCTTCTGTGACCTATATAAGCCAAGCGGCGGTGAGTGGAAGCAGCCGCCCCCCGAGCTGGCAGCCCCGCGATCTCCGCCTAATAGGGATGACCATTTTCTGGTGTCTGCGTATTGTCAGCGAATTGAGCTGAGAAGCAGTGGCATGACCCCGGCTTCTTCCCCATTCCCATGCGCTGACCTGCTTGTGACCTACAACACGGACCGTGACATCTGAATGAACTCTGCGAGCAGCCTCGCCAAGTTCACTGCCCCTCCAATAACGAGATACGGTGGTCTGAGCACCGATAATTACCGCAGGAAACCTTTATTATCCCCGCAGCCATCAGCCGTCAGGCCGAAAAGAATCAAATGGTGAAGAGTGAAAGGGATAATTAAAGACATCTTGGAAGGGGGTCAAGAAATTCACGGCCTGATACGAACAAACTCTGATTACAAGTAACAATTGCCGCCCTTCACTTGCAAATGCTCCTGTTTATTGGAAAACAAAACCAGTCTCCAGGCTTCCCCCCCTTCCGCCGCATCCTCCAGCGAGGCGCTCGCGGATCTACTTCGTGCCCGGGGTGTTTTCCTGGTGTTTCCCGAGCATCCTTCCCCCTCTGGTTATTATTCATGAGCCAAGCCCGCGAACTGGTGGCTCCTCGCCTCGGGAAGCGGGGCGGGCTCCGCGGTCCCGCGCTTGCTGAGCGGGGCCCGCTGGGGGGCAGCGGCTCGGGGGCTGCGCTGGTTGAAGTCAGTCCCTGACGCTCGCATCCACCGCCCAGCGCTTCCCCTCCGTTCCCCACAAAGATTCACCTTAAAGGCGAGGTCAGGAGGGCACCGGCTTCTGGTTCACCACGGGGTCAGCAGCACTCCGCGGCCTTCTCCAGACCTGGTCTGTGCCACCCGGTGGCCGCGTGTGTGCGCGGGCAGCCTCTGTGCCCTGCTGCGCTGCCCCGGGTCCTGCGGGCCCGCACAGACGTGGCCACCCCTGGGCTCCCGGACTCGGACTTTTGTCCTCTCGGGAGTTTTCTTGAAGACAGTAACGTGCACCCAGGAGAGCGGGGCTGTGGCAGAGCCCCCGCCCCCAGCCCCAAGCCTTCTTGTGTGTGGAGGGGCGCCCCGCACAACGACCCTACCCAGCCCCTGCCCCTATTCGTGCTACGCGGGGGCTGGACCCAGGGCAGGAGCGGCAGCAAAGGCACAAGCCAGACGCTTGCAGTGTAGCCAGGCGCTTTCAGCGATCCCGCATCCACCTGAAGAGCAACCAGGACAGCGTGTCTAGCTGGGACCAGCGCAGCGCTGGGGAGAGGCGGCGGCTGCAGCGGGCTCCTTCTTCGGTTCCCGGCTCCTTTTGCCAGGGGGATCTTCGCACAAGTGGGGGCGTCAGCAGTGACTTAGAAACGCGCAGTTAGGATGTCACCGGACAGGTGCATTGGCTGGCACGAATGTACCCGACTACCAGTGTCCAGCACGTTGTCCTGGACAAGAAGCCGAGATTAGGCCGGGATCGCGGCAACGGGGCACAAGGCACCCACTGCAGCCTCAGAGGCACACCCCAGGCAGCGCCAGGCCCCGATTGAAGAGTCAGACGCGGACTGGGGCACGAGAGCCGGGAAAGGGGCTCAGGGACAGCCAGCCTCTACCACCGCCCTCCTGCGGGACGCGACCCCCGACATCCCTATCTCGGGCCCTGCCCAGGTTTCTCTCGAGGCTCCGCGGCTCCGACTGGGATCCCCGCCCACCGTCCTCGTGATTTCTCCTTCCCCGGCACACAGCAGTGACCCAGGCGCGTTTTCAGACGCTTTATTGAAACGGTTCCCCTCCTTGCCGAGCCCCGACAGCTCCTCTCCCCCACGACAGGTTTCAGCCCCGCGCTAAGGGCAGAGTGGCACCGAGAGCCTGCCCGACGCAGCCCCGCTCCTACAGCAGCGTCTGCCCCCAGGGCGGGCACGGAGCTCCCCCGACGGCCGCGGAACTCAGACCCGGGGGCTCGGGCGCCCCGGCAACTGGGCGGGCTCCTTCCGCGCCTCTTCCTACGTTTCTAGAAAGCCGGGGCACAAGGTGCCCCCGCACCAGCCCCCGGGGCTGAGTCAAACTCGGCCCCGGGGCTGCGCACGGGCCGGCGGGGGCCGCCTCAGGTGTGGCGGGCCCCGGGGCTGGCGGCGCCGGCCCGCAAGGGGCGGAAGTAGAGCTGCAGCCCATCCTCTGGGTGCACGATGGGCACCGTCTGCATTTCCGGGGAGCCGGGCGTGGCCAGCTCCCAGGCCAGCTCGATGGCCAGTAGCTTGAGGATCGCCTGCGCCACCTCCTTGCCGATGCACCTCCGCACGCCGCCGCCGAAGGGGATGTAGTGGAAGCGCCCCGCCGCCTGGCCCTCGTCCTGCCGAGCCGAGGCGAAGCGGTCCGGGTCGAAGGCGTCGGGCGGGCTCTGGTACACGGCCGCGGTCTCGTGCGTGTCCCGGATGCTGTACATCACGCTCCAGCCCTTGGGGATCTGGTAGCCCTGCAGGGGAGGCAAGAGCGGCCTCAGCCGTCGGGCACGTGGCGCAGGATGCCCGCCCCACGCCGACGGGGCGGGCCCGCTGCCCTCCCCCAGGGCTCAGGCCCCGGCGGCCCCAGTCTCCTTGCCTGGCTCAGTTTAATTTTAAACATGTCCCTCCCTCGGGGCCAACCAAACCACCCTCCGGAGGTAGCTTCGGCAGCCCCTTAGAAAGCGGAGTTCAAGAGAAATAACTTCCAGCTATTCCCTCTGCCCCTCACCTGGCTCAGGCCAGGAGTCCTAGTGATCTGCGCAGGACTCCTGCCAGCCAGCCAGAACAGCACAGGGCTATAGCCTGCAGCCCCTACCTACCCGAGTACTTCTGACACAGCGGGGGACAGGCATTTACAGCAGTATAACCTAGTGTTATTCCAGGATAAAGATGGAGTTCACATGCCGCAGACAGCCCACACTAGTGTTAGTCAACAGGATAAAGATGCTCCTTGGAAAGCCAGGAGTAACTCCCTGGGATTGTTCAGACAGCAATGATCCTGTCTTCAGCAGGGGACTGGAGTACATGGCCTCCTGAGATCCCTTCCAACCCTGTGTCTACATGTCGTGTGCCGATGACTCTAAACGCTTCATCCCAGAATAACCCTTGTTCAATGCAATCAGGCTGGTATCAGCTCCCCTGCCATCTGGCGGAGCCAAGCTGCAATGCCAGCTACTGCAATCACTGTCTGTCCGCTCAGTACACCAGGGTAACTTATAGTGGTATAAATGTCAACTGTTCACTATATTGTAAGGCTACATGCCTAAGAATATTTACTTAGGAGATGCTTAGTGCCAGCCCCCAGTCCTGCTGTGTGATGTTACCCTTATATAGTTGCTGCAGTTTCTTAAATTTGAGCTGAAATGTTAATTGTTACATTACCCTGGTGCCAACTTAGTGTGAAAAACAAGGTCACCTGATAATCAGAGAATCAGAAATGCTCAGCGTACATCTGGGCCCCACACAAGCAAACGACTTCAGAAAAAAATCATGTCAAGATCAAATTAGTGGCCTCAGTTTCCTGTGCTTATAAGGGCCCATTTCTTGGGGATAACATTCCCCTTTACTCTATTTTTACATACATTGCAAATTCTGATATAGTACTGATTTCCTGTGCATTGGTTGCCTGATCTTTCGTTGTAGCAGGAGTTTCACACTAAAAGCAAGCTTGTCATATAGGACAGGGCTGTCCACCTGGTGGCCCTCAATGCATCTCTCCCATAACCACCTTGGATTTCAGGGACCTGCCCCTGCAGCATATGACTGGCACAAGTCAGCACCATACACAGCCCCCAGCCACAGGGAAGTTAGACAGCCCTGCTATACGGATTGGGAAATGTCTTAGTCACCACTTCCTCAGCTAGTAAACCAGATTTTTTAAACATCCAAAGGTCACTGGAGAAGAAAAACAATTTGGTGGAACAGCTGCACAACTGCACATACAGATCCAAATAAATGAAGAAATAGCCATTTCAATCAAAGATAAATGTAGGTCCTCAGATGCCTGCAAGCATGCTAATCACTTACATCCAGCTCAAAGGTCTGTAGCGCAGTTCTGTAGCCTCCAGAGACAGGGGGTAGCAATCGGAGGACCTCCTTAATCACACAGTCCAAGTAGCGCAGGCGGCTCAATTTCTCCAAGTTCATATAAGGCTGACAATCACACTCAGGCCCTGGGGTCACAGGCCCTGTGGGCAGCTGGAGCCTGTTGGGCAGCTGGCCACCTTTCCCTGGCTGGTGGTCTGCATAAGAGGAGTCTGTATTCAAACACATTGCTTTTTGTGTCATTCTGGTGAGGCTGGACTCCTCAAGAAGCAGGGGCTGCAGAGAGGAGCCATCCTCTACCTCCTTTGCCTTCAGGTCTGGTTGTAGGTTACCATTTTTCTGGGTTCCTTCTGTTGTGGAGAGGCGATGCTGCTGACAGTCATTAGGCTTCCTTTCTTTCTCATGGATTATCAGTGGTGTTTGGCAAGGTTCAAGGTAGGGATTATTATTTTGGGAGATTGCAGGTGAATAGCAATGACACTGCTTAGACAACTCACAGTCCACCAATTCCTGTCTTATTTTTTCTATTGCTGAGGGGTGCTTGAGTAGCAGAAGGATCAGGGAAGTGCTGGCACTAGCAGTGGTGAAGAAAGCAGCAAATATCAACTCAATTGCTGACTCCTGGAAGATAATCAAATGCCAGTTTTAAATGTATTTGTATTTTAATTTTTGAATTGTTCTTACACATTTTCCTAGCTCTGACTTCACTTCCAATATTGCAGTACTAGAACCTAAAAACTCTGTGGCTTTACTTACATCACTTTAGGTTGATCACATATTATACTGCAAATCATGTGTACTGTACTCTATTCATTTCATTGTTCCCTATGAATCTTTCACTACCATTAAACAGAGAAAAATATGGTTAAAGAAAGTTGTAAGCAAAATTTATACTAAACATTAATTTTCTGCCTTTAGTTGTGTGTCTGGGCCATGCAGCTGCCAATCCCTCCAAATGGTACAATCAGATTGGGTCCAGAAATCAAAATATCCACAGACCTTATAGCTGATGTCAGTTTTTCCAAACATTGAAGTCATGCCCTACTAAAAGCCTCAGTTCCAGTACCACACTACCACAATATAGCTATATCTAAGCTGAGGTTAAGTTCCTAGCTTCCCTTTTTTCAAGCCCATATGTAAAAGACAGAGAAAGAGAATGTCTAGGTGTAGGATGTGAACTAATAATATTATGCTGCCTTTTTTAACTATGCCCAAAATATTAGGCATCAGGTACATTGTCCCTGTATAACTATGTTTTTGCTGAGTCTTCCTCTTGTATTCACAATAAAAGCCTTGGTTCTGCAGCATATTCACAGAGGACACATCAACATAGTCCCCAGCTGTTGTTCCATATTCGTAAAGCCAGTTGTACTTCCGTCTTAATACTACTGAGTACAAATACATAGATCTATCCAAAAGTGATTGGATAGCTGAGGTAAAGGCAAAGAGACAGTTTAGACGAGATAAGGTGAAACAAGGAGAGTCATGGTGTGACTCCAGGCCTTACCTTTCACCATCAGGCTAAAGCACTACAGTGGGAACAAAGGGATCCAAAGCAGTGCTGGCTATATCTTGAGCCCATTGGGAGTCAACAGCAAAATTACCATTGATTCCTTCAAAGCTCAGATTTCATCTACCTGGAGTTTTTCAAGACCTGGCACTTCTTTCATATGTGCCCAACTGCAAGAGACCAGAGACCTGGAACCAGAGGGGGAATTGCTTGGGAAAATGTGAGACTGCATGAGGGAGAGGATGAAGGTGAGGCAAACTGGGACAGACAGGCCAGAATTAATACTGTGTACCTTGTGCTAGCTGCCAGTGGGCTCAGCAGCAGATAAAAGCCAACAGATCTCAGAGAGGAATGGAAAGAGCTGGTTCCCTTTCACACCAATACATATATGGTCCTGGAAAACCTTACTCTGGGAAAAGCCTCCATTTCATATGAGGATGAGGTAAAACCACAAGCACAAGGAGAGTCAGCCTGAAGCCTGAAAGTACCTGGGAGTCACTGCAGGGACAACATGGGCCATATAATAATAATAATAATAATAATAATAACAACAACAACAACTTTTTGTGACTACCAGTCCTACATGTAGTCAGTTGGCTAAAGCTAGAGGATGATTCGTAATGCTCCATTTTCCTTGTTTGGGTGGGTTCCAATTTTGTCATTGTGCTAGTTCTCTGGAACACCTTGAGGTTAAACATAAATTCAGGAATTACTGAGGTCTGCCTCCTTGATCTGTACACGGAGCTCGCATAGGCATAAGCAGGAATTTTGCATTCTCAAGAAGAGAATGGGTCCCATAAAAAAGAGATCCTTTATTTCCACAACTTTTAGTTGCACAAATACCTGTACTTTCAGGGTAAAAAGGATTAGATGGAAATCTTTGCATAGTGAAACTGTAACCCTTTCATTACTGAAGCAAACTCTGATGTTGTTGCATTAGTGGTAACTCATAGCCAATAAAGTATGTTTTGGAGGACTAACCTGGTTTCTCTCCAGTCCAGTTCATTGTGGAAACACCTAGATTTGCCTGCTTTTCTTCAAATTCTAATATTACACTTATTACTTTGGGTTTGATAGATGCCTAATCTCTGCCACAGTGCTCTGGCAACATAATTCTGTTCCTATTGCATTCTCTGGCAGCCCTAAATCTGTACTACTACAATTATGTTATGCCTTCCCCTTCTGTGGCTTTAAACTTTGCAAAGCAGTGGTTTTTAGTAAAATTGGCAGACTTAAATTACTGGATTTTTGCAATTCTTGTCATTTTACAGTTCATTCTGCATTTCTTCCGTGAGTACAAGTCACAGCATCTCGAGGAAGCTGGAAAGTAATTTAAAGCATGTTTACATTCAAAGCAAATCATGAAACTAGCTTGTTTTTCTAAAGCACCTAAGAAATGTGACATGGTCAGGTCATTCAGTTAGAAGAGCATTCTGCTGGCTTCTATTTTAATAAAATAAGTTATTACATTTAAAAATATATGGTAGTTATTCTACAGTTCCTGGTGAGTTCTTTTTAAATATGCTCAACATAAGAAGTTTCTAACCATACAGTATAGTATAGGCATATGCATACCTATAACTACCACATGCTCAAAGCCAAGTGCCCTCATATCATTGTTGTCTCAGTTCAGGTGAGACAAGCCACTTTTCATTACCTCTGCTTACTTGCTGGTCTCCCCACAATTGCTCATGTGATTATTGCTCTATAATATGCATTGGAGATGCATATTAAATAGGAGGCAATGCATTCCTTTACAAATTTAATTAATCAGCTGTTACAGTGCAATTTGTCATGTTCTGATCACTGTCACATACCTCTATTCTAATTACATATAGCTGTTCCTATAGAATATCATATTCCAAATTAATTTACATTTTACAAGCTCACAACTATATTTACACTTTGAAATACTGTAGATTTTAATAGCTAAAATCCTATAAAAAATAAATTTCTATTCAGTCACAAATGAACAACACTGTTTCTAAACTTGTAAGAGTTCAGATTTATTTACATTATGCTTATACTAGGCATATCTACATGTTCATTAATGCACTTTAGTTACTGCACATTAAGTTTAGTGCTTGAATAACTAAGTACTAAATCAATGCGCTGTAACTGTAGTGCCGGCACACGGGTTTAGTAACACTTACTGCGTAGTAGCCTAATACTATTGCACAGTAGTGTACTAGCACTGTTTTTGCCCAGCATGCTACTGTGCAGTATTATTAGGCTACTGCGCAGTTAGCATCTCATATAGACATGCCCACTGATACCAGAATAATTGGTGGCACGAATATTACAATAAGTCCTCTTTTTTAGTTCTATGGCAAAAATCTCACTGCTCTTGATTGGAATTCTGTCTGACCCAAAACTACAAAGTTTGGCCTTCAGCCACAGTGATACACCATACTTACTAGTCCATCATACACATCCATGTGGGGCAGCAATAGAATGATGTATTGTCAGCAATAGAATGCTGCCCCACACGGATGTGCATGATGGACTAGTAAACTTGATGCATCACCTAGTAGATGACCAAAGTGTAGGAGCAATTCTGTTACTCCGAGTGCATAAGTATCCCTATTACAGAACTAGGGAGACATCTGGGCATCTCTGGAAAGCAATCCTATCCCCTGTACAGAGACACTCACTAAGGAAGTAACAGAATCACTCCTACACAGTAACTGCGTAACTTTGTGAACTCTTTGGTCAGTGGGGACCAACTGTTTTTGGTAGGCATGACACAAATTAGTCCTGTACTCTCCCTGAGTGCCTCTCAAATTCCCATCCCTGCCCAATCTGTTGCTCTGCTTTCTGCTCTAGGCACCTTGGCTGATCTGATGTTCAGCTCCCTGCTCTATCTGTCACTGTGCTGCTACCTGTTCCCTCCCCAGGCTGGTATGTGCCACACCGAGAATACCTATGCCATGGTTGGCCAGCCCTTCACAAGGCAAAACAGACTTCTGCCCATGATGTGCAATATAATTAATGACTTGGTGGCCAGGAATGCTTCAACATCCGTCTTTCTATCTCATGGATTATATTGAAATATTGGTTCAAAGATGTCTGGGTTTACAGCTCTATGGACCACAGCAATACTAATACAGCTCCTGCTATAACAGGTGTTTGGAATGGATGACCAATGTATAACCCGGCTTAGCATGTCCAAAACCATTCTGACATGTACTAAGAACACTTGAATGTGCAAAGTGTTTATCCCAACAGTATAAATCTAGCGGTATTCCATCACAGAAGTATATAAAATAGTTAATAGAGAAAAAAGCCAAGGGAACTGGGTAAAAGGGCAAAAGAGACATGTATTTACTTTAAACATATTCCTTCTGTTCAAATGCAAAGCAATATCACCACAACAAGGCAATTTGTAGCTTTGGCAACACCCTCTTCCTAAGATTCCTGTTTTTCAGACAGCTTGTAAGCTTGTAGGATGTTACAAATTTTGCTCTGCCCAGTATCTTTGCTATTGGTAGGGTTTCAGACCCCACTCTCACTTCTAAAACAGTTTTTCTAACTCTATTTTACCCAGGTTGACTAGCTATTTTTCATGCATTTGGGCACTTAGGAGAGATGGGTAGCTCAAGATAAACTTCATTCTCATTTGCAGTGGGTGCCCTCAGAGAGCAGGAGCCAACCCCTCCTGGACAAACCACTTGAAAAGCAAGAATGTAAGAAGTATAACAACAAAAGGAGAGTTTTTACCTTCAGCTCCTGCATGGTGAATTCTTTGTCATGCTCCTTGGCACTGTTTATTATGATATCCAAAGCATCACTGTGACCTTCTGAATCATTCCTTAGCAGTTTTTCCTGTATAGCCTTCTCCATGTAGTCATGCAACATGTCCCGAGCTTTGATCCCCTGAGGAGTCAGACATGATTATGTAGTCTTTAAAACTGACCCAGAAAAGCAGGAACCCCCCTGCCTCCTCAGAAAAAAAATGGTACTCAAATCCCACAAAACAAGTCACTCTAATTTCTAATACAGTAACATCAATAACTTCAACCCAGAGTCCATTTGTTGCCTAGAATTTCTTTTAGCCTC